TGTAGCTTTGCGCGAAATTCAAAAACAAACAAACAATCCATAACTGGTATAGAACATATTTTATTCAGTTATATTCATGTTTTCACATGTTTCTTCATGTAAATAATCAAATCCGCTTTACCCAGATGTCTCGAGTTCGTAAACGTGTAATATTCCTTTTGCACAGACAAAGGCTACATACTACAACCTTTGCCCTTGAGTATGAAATTCACCTATCCTTCTGTATGGACTTCTGGAAGGTAGCCTATTCAAAGAGGCAATTAGAGCCCTGTACAACTAGCTTGGCTTAAGATTGCGTGTGGACTATTGGTTGAAGTATTTAACTTGTGGATTTGTGGGGTACCAGATTTTGTTTGTTTCGCTAGAGTACATAAGTAGGTTATTTCCATATTTCTGTCTCTTGCATCAGGCCAGCGGTTCTCAAGCTTTTTAGTTCTGGACTACCTGATTTATTTTCTATGCACTATGCTGCCTCTCCTTGTATTTAATTATCCAACCTTTCGCCAGGTGTTAGTGGACCACAGATTGAGAACCGCTGCTCTAAACTCATGATATGGATGTATATAAGATATGATTTGGCTAAGTTTGTGACTTTTTAGATATCGTTTAAGTTCTCTTATTATTTATAACATTGCCTGTTCACGCATGGTTTTACAATGTTAAGATGTTGATATGTACATATAATTTCCTTTGTTGCGTTTATTATATATTAACATAAGTTATGTTTAAATTTACTTACACTTTTTTTCCATTCTTGCTTTTAACAGTAATTATTAAAGTATAATCTAAGTAAACAATTCAAATTACTTCCGTTTCCACTGGTCTGTGAGAACTACAAATTAGTTAACAATGTTATTTTATAGATAAAATTTACAACAGCGAAGAATGTCTAACATATACTTTGAACGCGAGCTTGCTGGTTAGCAAAGCACTGCTGGACCTTCGCAGAACAATCACGAGTGATAATTGTTTATTTTCACAGCTGGCTGACTTTTAATCTAACAAGGTGTCTTCGTCCACAAGTGTTTCTCACGATAACAAGTACAGTAAGTTAGTATATGTGTTTGCTAAGCTACGTTGACAGCCCATTACCTCACACAAACTCCATTTACCTTCAGGCAAAGCTGATGATTTCTAGCACTTAGATGAAAGTGAAATGAGTGTAAGTAGTGCTAATGAAAACATTTTATCTCAGATGAACTCTTCACCTCATATTCCTTCTTACGGTTCGGTAAGTATTATATATATATATTGGATAATTATATTATATGAAGAAATAATACATGTGATAATGTTAAATACATTTTCAAAGAGAAGACGCTACCCGAAGCCAATTTAATATCGATAAATATTTTTGGGAAAATTAAACAAAAATATTGATCGGACTTATACTGGGCAGTTTATGAGAATTGAAAGTCTTTTAAAACAAATAACTTATAATTAGATAAGAAAAGTTAATTTAGTCCTTCAAATCCGTTGATCTGCTTATGGCATGATCTTTCAAAGAAAATTCACAAACGACATGATTATCGTTTTCTCTTTTTCAGAGTTCGTAGCAGGGAGTTATACTATAAAGATATTTTTAAAATATTAATCTTTAAATAAGTAAGACACACAATCAACGGTAATCCCTTAATAAAAGTGTAATCTCAAAGAGTCGGAATAGATTAAACATTGTTTTTATTTCTGAAGTTAAGAATCCTTTATCAAAAAACAACATGTAATTCTTTTTAAAATACCGAAAATTTAAAACGGTGACAAACATTTGTAAGCGTGACCATTGTTCGCCGTAATAAATATCTTAATACTTTAATGACAGAAATCTTTGTTGTATAAAATAGTAATAAAACTTCACTGAAAAGCAACAAACATCACTGTGGCACTATAAGTTAAAATTAAGTTACTTAAGCGTTTAGTAATATATTTTGATGGTCTCTTTGTTATTACGATAGTAGTTTTTTTTAAGAGGGCACTGGTTGACTGGTTGAGCTACACAATGAGCTAGCTGTGCTTTATCCACCACGCGTATCGAAACCCGGTTTCTAGCGTTGTAAGTCCGCAGACATACCGCTGTGCCACTGGGGTGCTGAATTTTGGAGCTGGCGAGTCGGTTTCGTAGCCGGCGATACCACAAAAATATTCCCCCACACTTTAGACTGTTGGTGCATTATAAGAATGGCAGTTATTCCCTTTACGTGGATAGCTGGTGGTAGAGTGCTTCTAACTTGCTGCCTTCTCTCTGGTCAGTAATCCAAAATTAGGGACGGCAACTGATAACTGTAGTAGCTTTACCATTAATACAAACACAAAGATGTTTGAAGTTTGATACACCACGTACTTTCATGTAAATATATATATATATATATATATATATATATATATATGTAGTAATAAACAAACTAACGAACGAACGGAACGTAGTAGAGTAATTAAATAAGTATAGTAGTAGTAACTTAAACTTACTTACTTTACGTTTT